ATCCTCTTCCTCCTTCTTTTCGGCTGATTGTGAATCTTTCAGTTGCTGCGTGTATGTGATGTATTCTATGTCTATTGCACTGTATTCGTGTGAGTGTGTTAAGTGCTTCCAGGTCTGTTTCGGTCCATCTCACTATCCCAAAAGAGTATGTTAGTACTGCTATTGCATATGTATTTATTGCTTTTGTTTTGTTTCTTGCTGTAAGTTCTGTCTTGAGTATTTTAATTAATCTCTGCCTGTATCTGTGTTTTAATTCTTCTTTGATTACTGCATTTTCTATTCCTATTTTCTGTTTGTACCCTAGGTATTTGTAGCTGTCCATTTCTGTCATTGCCTCTATGTGGTTGTCGTTTTCGTCTAATATGTAGTCTTCCTGTTTGGTTTGTTATCCTCTGATTATGCTGTTTTTCTTACATTTGTCTGTCCCTAGCGTCATTTTTATGTCTGTGCTAAATGTTTCTGTGATCTTGAGTAGATAGTTCAGTTAGTGGTTAGTTGCTGCAAACAATTTTAAATCTTCCATGGACAATAGATGTGTGATTTTATGCGGGTTTGTTCCCATGATATTTTAGCCGTATTTCGTGTCATTTAACATATTTGATAGTGGGTTTAGGGCTAAACAGAACCAAAAAGCGCTTAAGGGGACACGTCACCTTAGAGTGTAAAAAAAGTGTTTTTTTTGTGAATTTTTTATGCAGCCGGTTTTAACCCTTTCGGTACTACTGCCGCCCGTTGGCGGCATCCACTAAACATTCTCTGAGTCCTACCGTCGCCCATTGGCGGCATCCACTAAACATTCTCTGGGTCCTACCGTCGCCAATTGGCGGCATCCACTAAACATTTTCTGGATCCTACCGTCGCCAATTGGCGGCATCCTCAGAAAGTTATGTGGGTGCTACCACTGCCGCCTAGTGGCACCCACGTAAATTATGTGGGTATGATTACTCTCTATAGTACGCATTACTTTACTATTCTGTGTTTAAAATTCCCGGCTTTTCTGAATGAAAAGTTTAGTGTCAATCACGCACGAAATTTCTATGAATGCTGCAAAACACGTTTTCGCGGCTTACGCCGCCGTAGAGTACAACCCCTCTCGTGGAAAACTTCCTCGTCCCACGAATGTATAAGCGCGGCCAGCCCCTCCGTACCGAAAGGGTTAATAATATCAATACAAAGTTTTGATATATGAAAGTTATATATCTGAACTATATTTGTAAATTTTGGTATGTAAAAATACGGTAAATTGTTGTCTGTGGCCACTCTTCCAAGAGTTCAAAAAGAAAAAAGGTGATTTGCGGTTGCCCTCACTACCAAAAATTGGTTCATTTCAAACAAAAAAACCGAGTGCTTTCTTTTAATTGAGATGTTTGCGCAGGGAATGAACGGAAGGAAATTTTCATTTTTTAATTTTTTTTAAAATAGTGTACTTTTTACGAAAAAATTGAATTTTTTGCAACAAAATCGCCGATTTTTCGAAAAAAATTTGCATTTTATCAAAAAATCCTTCCGTTCATTCCCTAGATACGTATATCTAGTATTACTGTACAAATTTTGGTAAAGATCGGATGAATGGTCTGGACGCAGCGAGGGCAACGCGAATAGGAGAAATAAACGGATAAAGTTAAGATAACACTTCCATTCATATTTACATTGAATCATTGATTCCAGGGTAATAAGAGGTACCCTCTGCTGCATCAGCAGCCTCTGCAGAAGTGGCTTTTGATTGCCGTCGAGCTTTTCTCGTCTCCTTCGTACTTTCTTGAGTGCGCTTGTATACCTGTATACGCAGCTGCTCGTATACCTGTTCTGGCCGCGCTACGGCGCGCTTCGCTTAAACTAGTACAGTTTCGTAAATAATGCGCGGATCTTTACGAAAATTTGAGAGAGTATTTTTGAAATAATATTCTTTCAGAAAATCGGAAAAAAATCGATTTTTTGGTTGACGTGTTCCCTTAATGAGTCTCCTTGAAATATCCCTCGTCTTATTAATATGGGTTTTGTTGTGATGGTGCCTTTGTCTGTTTGTATGTTTAGTATTGTACTCCAATTTCTCATTATTTTCTCTAAAAATTTTATTAGGTTTGGGTTTATTTTGTATATTTCAAGTATTCTAATCAGCCATGAATGAGATACACTGTCGAAAGCCTTTTGGTAATCTATATATACATAATTTTATATATGCATAGTTTAATTTTAGCTTGATGTATTATTTCTGAGTCAATTACTAATTGTTCTTTGCATCCTTGGCTTCCCTTACAGCATCCCTTTTGTTCCTCGCTGATTATATTGTTATGTGTTGTGTGTGCTACTAGTTTCTGTGCTATAATCGATGTCGGTGCTTTGTATATTGTAGGCAGGCATGTAATGGGCCTATATTTGGCTGGGTTAGTTGTGTCTGTTGTGTCCTTTGGTATAAGATATGTTATTCCTTGTGTTAATATGGTTAGTGTTGTGTGTGGTTTTTTAATATAGCTGTTGAATAGTTTGGCTAGGTGTATATGTGCTGATGTAAATTTATTAACCAGTAGTTCGCTATTTTGTCTTTTCCGGGTGCTTTCCAACTGTGTGTGTCAGCTATTGTTTTGGTGACGTCGTGAGGTGTTATTGTTACTTCAGTCATTTGTTGTATTGTGTTGTATTTATTTTGCCCTTTCTGTATCCAGTGTGCCTGTTGATTGTGTTATGTTGCGTTTGACATGCGATTATTATTATTATTATTATTATTATTATTATTATTATTATTATTATTATTATTATTATTATTATTATTATTATTATTATTATTATTAGTTGNTTATTATTATTATTATTATTATTATTATTATTATTATTATTATTATTATTATTATTATTATTATTATTATTAGTTGGCGTTAGGAACTCGAAAATTCATTGCCGCAAATACCAAATCCCGCCATTGTTCCCGTCCCTGAGCGTAATCCTTTCATTCGCGGTCTTCGTATCCTATTTCTTTCAGATCCCTTCTAATATTATCCTCTCATCTATGTCTCGGTCTACCTAGTGTTCTTTTCCTGTTCGGTATACCGACCAATATTTTATGTGCCGTTTAATCCTCCCCTAAATGTTGAATGTTCGAAATTAGTGTGATGAAAAAAAATATGCACCAAAAACTGTGTTTTAAAGTATTTATCTAAATTAGCAAAACACACAACACGTTGACGCACGCCCTAATGCAAAACTGTTTTGTTCTTTTTATCCGAACAACATTGTCATCTGATGGCCAGTCTGGTGTCCCCTGAGAAGGGATATCCGATTGCAGAGGATTAAACAGTTGAATCTTTAGAAATGTGCGAAATAGCGAATTGTGCGAAAGTCGAGGGCGCCTGTAGTACAATTGATGCTGTATTTATATGACATTTAAATAACATTTATTACAAAGTATAGAATGTGTTTATTACAAATTATAGTGACAACCCAAGCTCAAAGACTGCTAACAGTGAAGTGATTTTTTTTCAGAAGGTAACAGATATCTTTCAATTACAAAATGTCGGCATCTCTAGCACCCTTCTTAATGCACGAATTACACGTTATCGTTTCCCAATTTCCTTCGGTCAGCTTCTTATAAGCATAGGTTTCAAATTTTGAGTAGAATAACGTCGAGGGGCGCTTAAAAAGTGTTTTCCTGTCACGAGATATAAAATTTTCGGGGCGTAGCGAGTCGCAAATGCTCATGTTTCAACTGTCTATTTACAGAAGTGCATAATTATTTATCCATAAAAAATAGTTGGATAAAATAGTAAAGGTTCAACTGAAAAAGTCTCTATGTTAAGAAATTTCTCAAATAAAGCGTAATATTTACACTTTTAGCAAAATTTTCGTGATTTAAAACCTCTGTCGTTAAGACGGTTTCAGAATTAGTGAAGGTCATTCTATAGGTGAAATGTGACTGTACAAAAACGTTCTCACTTTTTCAATATTATTCGATATTAGAACAACTTATATTTACATAAGGCTATAATTTTCCTACAATTGAAAAACCTACTCGTTTTATCGTTAGTTGATATAGGCTATTGTAACAATGGCAATTTCAGCGATATGAATAAAACACGGTGACACCAAAGCATTATCAGCAGTACTTTTAATTTATATATTTATAACTATGAAATAGAAAATTACTTACATTATTAGTATTTTTCTGTAATAGAATTTTCAAGTTTTAGAAAAATCTTTGAATCGCTAGATGATGATCAGAAAGTTTAATGCGCGATGTATTGAAAATATTACAATTTAAAATAAAAAGCACAATGTGAAATTACGTATTCATGTATGCTTAGGTCAAAAATAATACATTGACTTATTTAAATAGACATACAAGATCAACAATACTATTTGTGGAGCACAACGTGTCTTAACCGACTATATGTTAAAGAACAATAAAAGTGAAAATTACAAAAGTGAAATATTATATATATGTAAGCTTCGTGAAAAAAACTGGACCACTGGACTGACTAGTCCGGGACTCGAGCCCGGATCTTTCGTTTTACGGGCGACTGCCCGGAAAGCTTGGCATGGAGGCGTTCGTCCCACATATATTGCATTTCGACTCGTAGACATTAAGGTATATAACTATTTCAAAATATAAATACGTAAATATAATATAATTGTAAGAGGGGCGTCTCCATAATCTACTACTTAAAAATACATTCATCGAAAGATTTAATCGGTAAGTTCTGGATAGAGCATTCGCACGGAAAGCGAAAGATCCATGGTTTGAGTCCGGCCAAGTAAGTTCAGTGACCCGATTTTTTTTTTCAAATTTTACATAACATTACGTATAAAAATATTCAGTAGAGATAAATTATTGATATCCTACAAAATAATTTACGAAATTACTAATATATTTTTCAATATTAAAGCCAAGTAATAAATCTAGTACAAAAATAATATTGGTATCTATTTTGGATAAGACAAAGTGATTGTTTATGAAGATGTTATCCATAAATTTCGTGGAAAGGTCAAAATTCAACATTTCGGAGGTCTAAATTAGGACGGAAAGTGTAGTATTTATTGGTCAATTACAGTGAGTGTTTACTTGAGTATATCGATAAATATTCTAAATGAGTTAACAAAGGAGTTATGACACTGAGAGAAGTTGATTCTATCAATACTGACGCGATTCGAGTGAAATAAGATCACCCTGAAAATATTAATGCACGTGGTTTCGGTACATGCACGTGTTCCGTTGAGTGTAAATGGTGATGCATTAAATGAGCTTTGTACTAATTGTGCACCAATGCAAAAGTCGCTACGATGAGTGCTAGATGAGTTAGGCGCATAAGTTAAAAAAAACAGTATAAAATGTGTTAAAAAGAACTGAGATAACCTACATACAAAAACCTTGTAATGGCCATAGAAAAAACGATTAGAATAATAGCATATTCTTCATCGTCGAGAGCATGCGCGTTGGTGTGGTGATAGGGCTAGCACCTGAGAGCTACTGCCATTAGTTAAGAGTTCCGAGAAGCTCGATCATCTAATAATAAGAGTAATTCTCTTACTGTAAAATATAATTCATTTGATGAAATATACAATTAAAAAGAATTTAGTTTTTATGATTTTATTGGAATAAATTTGACACGAAGTGGTGTTGCTGGTCGCAAAATAATATTTCCCATCAATTTAATGTCATCCAAATCCTCTACTGGTTCTAAATAAAAATTATGTAATATGTGGGCAACCATTAGTTTTATTTCAAACATTGCATATTTTTGACCTAGAAAAAAGGTAATATTGGAATATAAATCTTTTTTGAATTTAAGTATAATCTTCTTATGTATAGTATTCTTACCAATGCAGTTTCTTAATCCTGCGCTAAATGGAATATAACAGTACGCATTACGTTTGCTAATATTTTCTGGTAAAAATCTATCAGGATCGAAAACATCAGGATTGGGCCAAAATTCTGGATTTCGGTGTAAATGAAAGATGTTAACTCGAACATTCGTACCAGCTGGGATTAAAAATTTGTCTGAAAATGTTATAATTAGGATTATTTCATCAAAATGATAAAATATGAATGCATATATTAGAATGTACGATGATTATGTTACATACTTAACTGCATATCCTCAGTTAAATAACGAGACACGAAATGAACACTTGGGTATAAACGAAGAGATTCTTTTATACATCTCTCTAAATATGAAAATCCTTGAAGCTCTGACATCGTCATTTGATAATTTTCTTGGTTCATAATACTATTCACTTCTTCTCTTATACGTTCCTATAACATAAATTGTCATTAAAAGAATTCTATATAATTATAACAAATTATAATTTACATCCATAGTTGTTATTAAATATTGTATCCATTGTTATGCTAAAAACGTCACCTGAACGTCTTTATGTTTAGCTATAAGACTCAGAAGAAAGACCAATGCCGTTGCAGTAGTGTCGTGACCCTACGGAGATTTTTTTTCTAAATTATTTTCATTTCATCTTAATATTAGAAAAAAATAAATATACTGAAGCTTACTGCAAACATAAATGTATCCACTTCCTCTCTGATTCCTTCATCATCGATTTGATTTCCATTCCAAGAAGCTGCTATTAGTAAATCTAACATGGCAAGTTTTTTCTTGTGCATCGGATCTATGATAAAAACATCCGATTAATATTTTTTATGCGAATATGAATTATTATTCTAGATCAATTAAAATACTTTTGTAATTTTTGTCGTATCCGTCGGAAAAACCGATATTTTCGTCAATCTCTTCCAAACATTTTAAATATTTTCCTTTAGTTTCTTCGTGAAAACTTTTTCTTTCTGCAATTATCTAAAATAAGAATAATAATTTTTGAAATTGATATGACTCTTTTTAGAACGCAGGTTAGGAATATACTATACATACTTTATTCGTAAAACCATGCAACGTTTGTAATAGTTCCTCTTGTAATCGTCCTTTTGGTGATAATGCAAATATGGTGTCAAAAAAATACCAAGGTCTCAAACTTCTAATAAATGATAGAACGTTTTTAATTCTCTTAATTATGGTTACTTTTTACAATTTATGTTAAAACAAATTCGGTATTTAATAGAGTAACATGATAAAATTATGTCTTACCTGTGTAGAACGATTCCGAGCATAGCATGAACGGCTTTGCGATATTTAAACTCAAGTTCGCCATTCCCCTGTAAAGATGTGCCCATAGCGGTTTCTGTAAATATTCTTTTTGATAGTAATTATATTTTTATGATTATTATAACGTAAAGAAATATTCTTTAATTTACCACATATCGCATTTAATGTATGTTCGGTTATAAGTTCCTCTAGATTCTGTATGATTGGATTTCCCTTTCCTTGTTCTTTCATTGATGATACAAGGTACCGCGCCTCTTCATTTAAAGTGACTACGAAATGTTTGAGAATATTAAAGTGAAAAGTGGGAGTCAAAATTTTTCTTCGATGTTGCCATTTGGGTCCTGTTGAGTCAAATTTTATCTTAAATTTAATTTATTATATTTAATACATTTTGCTTTTTCTAAAATTGTTTACCTGTACTTGTTATCAATCCGGTCGATAGCCATGGTTTTAAGAATTTATAAAAGACACTTTTTGTTATGTGTTTGGGACTCCTCATAAGTACCTTTAGTTAAAAGATATTTATATACTAATTTTATTTTATTGTAAATTTTTTTTATTGAAAAAATCAATGTAAAATTTCTTAGATAGTAAAAAGAAATATTTATTATTACTATTTATCGTAAAGATAATTAATAAAAAATGAAAAAACAATAAATTTTATATTTTATGTTATAAAAAATAAAAACTGATCAAATGATGGGTATTGATACGTTTAGTATTATTGAGAAAGAAAACAAAAAATTTTTATATTGCTTGCATATTATAATTATTTACCTCGATATCTTTCGGATGAAGTAAAACTACCGTTGTTATAAAGAAGGTCCATATTTTATATGTTGGATAATGTTTCTGGTCCATCACATAAAATGTTTTGAAAAGTTTTTCTAAAGTATGGGAAAAATATCTATGGTAAGTGAGAATTATTACATCGTGTAGGTAGAATTACAATAAAGTAAATATATTTTCTTGACGAAATTTTTACTCTTATATAAATTTACCATTTTTTTCTTGAAAATGAAGCAAATTTCCTATGATTGGATATGCTTTTGGGCCTGGAAGTACTTCAAGAATTCTTGTTATTCTTCGGTATTTTATAGAGCAGTGTAATAAAAACAGAAAGGAAACCATTCCCAAAAATATAGTGAAAAACATTGTTGAATAAAGAAATTTAATATATTAACCTCTTTTAATTATTTATTTAATCGTATGCAAAAATGTCACAAGAAATACAAATAAATACACTGATACAACCCAATAAACAAGTATATTTATCTCACTGATCAGATGCACGACGAAGTTAGATTAAAAAACAATGCAATATAGAAGTACTATTTATTGACCTTATTTGCGAATGAAATATATAAAAAGTGCAATCGAATGGATGCAACCGATATGTTTTCACAAATGAAAAAACTCACCTTTTCAAATTAAATATATAACTTCGTTTGAAATGCTATCTTTTTAAATAGTTGTTATTAATTTTTTTTGTTAAGTCATTCTACAAGCTGAGTCACATAGACTCAAAATTGCAATGACGTTACTGAGATATGAAAACTTAGTATAATTTTTTTGTTTTTTAGGTTGCTAATTATTAATTCGCTGTTTTTTGAAAAAAATGTTGCGCACAAGAGATAGCAGACTTCTTGTTGAAAAAATAATTGAATATTTAAAATGAGTTTATTTAACACTAAACGTCCCAAAAACGGTACGTTTAGTACTGGTCAAATGACCGGTTTTTAGAAAATGACTTTATTTTTCCTGATTGAATGGAGAAATATTGATTTTAGTAAGGAAATATTAAACAAAGTAACTTTAAGGTAATAATTAAACAAAGCCGTATTTTTTTATAAAAAACAAAAACTTTTTATAGCTAATTCATTGAGCTTCGCATTTTTTAACAGATGCAGAAGGTTCCAATGTACATTTTCCGCAAACGTACTTCCCACATTTAGAATAGATTTTGGTGGTTTTATTGTCTTTACAATACTTTATTTGACAATTTTTACGTTTTTAGAATCTGTCGTAGAATTAGTTGATGTTATTTCAGTATTTGTTATTATTATTTGTTTTTTTTGGTTTCTCGATAATCAGCGGCAAGTTCTACTGCTAACTGGAGTAAAAAATCTTGTCTAGATATATTTTCTCCTGTCGTTTTTTTATATAATATATAAGTATTTATGTGTGCCTGCTAAATCAAGGATATTGAAAAATACTTAGCTAGGACATCTGTGAGACTTTGATTTTGTACTATATTTCTTCGCCATTTGATCGGTTATATCCACGCCGAATTTAGTTTGGTTATAATATGAAATGGTCTCAGGTAAACTTTTATCCTTTTTTTCAAATTTCATAGATCTATATTTGGAACTAAATAAAAGTACTTTTTTCTTTGGCTTACTTTTATAAATTGTAAGAGTACAATTATCTGATTTAAAAACTTCCGTTGAAAACTGTTTTTACCAATCTAAAACTCGATTGACTTCTTCTACTGTTCATATTCTTATATGTTTTATAATGTGGTGGTCAATAATCAGTGAAAATGCAGTTTGCATTTTACTCTTCATAATGTTACGTTTTTGATGAGATTAGAGGTGGTTGAAAAAATGATAGGCAGACTTAGTTGCTTTAAACTATATTTAATTAGGACAAATAGACGCAATGCTCATCGCGTGGCTCGTGCGAGGCTTAGAGAGTAGATTCAGACAAAGGACTACTACGTAATGTAATATACAGGATGAATCTTGTAACTGAAACGGGTAATAACTTTTTTTCAAGAATAGAAAAAAATGATAAAGGAAAAAGTTATATGGCATAACAAATTTCAACTTTCTATGACCTTAATTTTTTTGAAAATGCATCGATGCACCCGCTAGATGCAGTTGCACTTTTTTGAAGTGAAAACTTCTTTAGAATGGGAGTGATCTGAAAAGTAAAAAAACAGAAACGGAGCTATGTAACGAAGCTATGAAACGGCTGCTATACTAAATAATGAGAGTAAAAGAGACAAACATATAGGATTTAGCCTGCGAGAGAATGAGACGGAATATAGCTATACAGTTTTTCCTATTCTCGGTCTCCTCTTTATGCTATGCTTCGTAGTTATCGCTCCTGGTTGTATATGTGTGTATTTGTGTGCGACTGCATACTACAAAGCGTAAACACACATATTCTTTCGATATTCGAAATGTTTGTAGGTAGGAGCGATAGAAGGGTAAAAGAATAAACAGAGATAAGCACCTAGGTATGCGACAAAAGTATAAGGTCCAAATGAACCGACGGTCGACATAAACAAAGAAGGTGCGTGGTCTGTTTTTATTTTACCAAACGTGTCATTTCTTTTCTATTTAAAAATGTCTCCATTTTATTGAAAAATTAATATTAAATTATTATTTATTTCGCAAATATTGTAATTAACAATTACGAAATATATTGAATATAATAATTGTATTGTCTGCAATATTTTACAAAAAAATGAAATAATTATCAGATACATCAGAGAAAAAAAAATTAAACAACATTGTAGAATATTTTTCTTATAAATATCCAAAGATGTGTTTTTTAATTTTAATGTTTCCGTATTTAGGAAATTTATACTAATTTTTCAATAAAATAGAAAAGTTTTTAAATAGAAGAAACTAGACACGTGACAAAAACAAATAAACCTTATTTACTTTATATTTCCAATAAGAATAAAATAATATAACTTATTTTACAGATATAGAAAAAAAAATATAGAAAATAAATTTTTAAAAAGTTTTTAATATTATAAAATAAAACAACGGAAATGATAAATAGATATTAAGATCGTTGTAATTCAAAATCCGATGAAACGAAAAAAATACGATCACAATTGTTCCCTTCTTTAACAGCATCCACAGTTATTAGTTGCAACACAAAAAGAAATACTTGTGTATGCTAACCCATGATAAAAATATCTCACATTAACAGAAAGTGTGAAAAGTGTAAGACAGAAAAAATTCATCTACCTTAGTTTCAAAAAAATGTATATTATATTTACTTGTATTAGGACGGCGTATCTTTCTGTCGACAAATATTCTACAATTTTCGTCTCTATCTATGGCTATCGCATTTAGCATTCCGTTGATGGATAGAATTTTGAAAATATTAGTTTTTGTCAGTTACCTACACCCCAAGGTCGGTTCCTTATCATGAGAAAAGAATTTTAAAAAGCAGGAAAGATCTGTTGAAATTCAATCTACATTTATTATCTTTATTATCGATGCGATAATATTTATGCCTATAGTTTTTTTTTTTACAACGTGTCATATCTTTTCTATTCAAAAATGTTTCTATTTTATTGAAAAATTAGTATTAAATTCTTTATTTCGCAAATATTATAATAAATAATTATGAAGTACATAGAATATATAATAATTGTATTGTCTGAAATATTAAAAAAAAAAAAAAGGATTACCAGATACATCAGAGAAAAGAATTAGAGAATACTGTGGAATAAATGAGGAGCAGCTGACAAATTCCATTCAAAAGCAAGTAAATTACTGTCACATTTTTATATTTTGCTTCTTTATAAAATATATTTGATACCTAAAAATAAAATATGTCTATTAAATTTGATTTTTATATGAAAAATATCCAAAGAGATGTACTGACCCATGCATATATGAAAATTATATTATAAATTATGATATTTTCGTATTTAAGAAACTTATAGTAATTTTTCAATAAAATAAAAACATTTTTAAGGTGTTGAACGCCCAGCGTGAATCTGTGGAGCTTACCACGGAGCTGAAATCTGAGACTCGTAGTGTACACAGCTTGATAATTTACGATACGATTCAATGCATTTTTTAGATTTTTCGTTTTTCAGATCTTTATTTAGACGAGAGTATTTAGAAAGATAAGTTTGTGGTCCAAAGAATAAGGACGAGATATGTTATAAATAATAAGGGTCTCGAAGTGTGGTAGGCTACAGAGTTGAAAAAACATTTCTAGAGAATATCTCTATTAGATCTCTCATAGCATTTTACCAGAACCTTCGTTCAGTCCAGCAGTATTTTCCATATGTTTTTCATAACGTCTTTATTTCGTCTATCCTAAAATGTTTGTTAAATAGCGCAAGAATGTAGATGAAAAAGGGGAAATTGAAAATCATACTAACAAAAAAAGTTTTATACATGAGTTTGAAAAAAAGGATTATTTATATTTACCTAATTTCTGACGAATTATATTTCCTTTGATAAACATCCTACCATTTTGGTGATTATTTATAACTATCGCATTCAGCATTCCGTTTTTTTTGCTTGAATTGTGAAAAGTGCACTTTTTATCAGAAATTCCACCCAGAGACCATACCGGTAACCCTTATTATATAAAGTAATAATATTAWAATAAATAAATCCTACAATTATCTTATACTCTTGAAACTGTGCATTCGTCAGATTCTCTCGAAACTTAGATTTTTGAAGATTTCACTTCTAACACGTGTGATCTGCACACATGATTTTTTTTTTTAAATGGAACTTTATATTTTTTTTTATACTATTCGATTCCTTTTTTTATTCTGAGTTAAAAAGTCATCAAAAGTGAAAGTCATCGAAATGTCAATAGTTTGCGTGATATTTGATGTTTTATATCAGCAATGTATTTTATTACAATAAATGTTCGAATGTTCCTCCATTGCATTCTAAACATTTTCTAATGCGCTTTTTTACATTTTTCATTATATTTTTTAATTGATTTGAATTTATATTGGAACAATACATTGTTATACGCTTATCAAATCATCGGCTAATATAAAAGAACGTGAATACACTTTATCTTTTAGATAACCCCAAAGAAAAAAGTCTAATGGGTTCAAGTCCGAAGAACGAGGTGGCCAAGGTATTGGACTACGGGTACTAGACCAATTTTCTTGGTAGATTGTGCTCAAATATCTCGTTACAATTTGAGTATTTTACAAGAATACGGCCCGATGACGCATGTATCTAGAATACCACACCAAACATTAACATTAAAATGAACTTGATTGTTTGTGTTTCTTCTTAAATGAAGGTTTTCCGTAGATCATGTATGTTCATTGCGTCTATTGAACATTCCATTACTAATAAAAGTGCATCATCTGTCCATAAAATTCTTTCTGCAAAAGTTTCCCTTCTTTGTGCTTGTCTAGGAAAAAATTGACAAAAACTCATTCTTCTAATATCATCCCCTACACGTAAAGTGTGTCCTATCGAATAACGATATAGATGATATTTATGTTCTTTTAAAATCCGCATTACAGAACTTTGACTAATATTACATTCCCTGGCTATTTCTCGTGACAAAGCATTGGGATTCCCTGTTATGTATGCCAATACGTTGACAATTAATTGTTTATATTGAGCAACTGGTTTTTCAACTACTCGCTTTGGTTTAACAAAGGAACCGTTACTCACAAA